CCCCCAATATCCCAGCACCCCGACCCCCAGGAAATCACATTATGCCCATTTGGCTAATTTCGAGGTGAGCGGCATCTGAAAAATGAGTACGTTTTCCTGCATGTCACCCGACGAGACTTCTTTGCTGCACCCTAACCCCCTTGGTATAACTTTTTGTTCTTTGTCGGACAATCTTAATAGTACACTGCAAGTTCTTTTGTCGGGCAAAGATCCTCAACTTCAAAACTTAATATCGCACTACAAATGTTGACTGAACAATCCGAATCTCAACACCCCAACCCTCTTCAAAATCACATTGACCCCTTTTGGAAATCACATTCTGTCCTTTTGGCTATTTTCGAGGTGAGCGGCATCTGATAAATGAGCACTTGGTTTTGTATTCCTGCAATCCGAGCCTCAACACCCTAACCCTCTGAATATGGAGTGAATCTTAAACTACGAATTAATTTGCAAATTCTTTCGCACACGTTCTAAGCGCGTCATTATTTCCAGCGAACAAAGGCGGAGGACAAAATCTTAAACAACGAATTAATTCCTAAATGTTTTTGCACACTTTGTCGTTGGAAGATGTGAGGAGGCGTTGTAAGCGGGATAAAAATGTCACACACTAAGTCATTGGAAGAGGTCAGAAGGCGCTGTAAGCAGGACAGTAATGTCTGTCAGCAAAGTTGGATTACCCAATTTCAAACTCGAAAATATTTCGTATATAAGTACCTTGTCCATACTGAGCCTGACAATTGTGATGCATCGTACAGTTCTTACTCTCGCAGATGTGAATCGTTGCAATTCTGATGCATCTTTATCCGTCAATACGGCAGTTGAGCGCGGAATAAAATCAAAGCGCAGGAGTAAGGCATCACACATTTTTAAGGTCTACCATCAGACGTAACATAAAGGCGAGTGAAAACTCACGGTACAAGCGCCAACAATTATTATTCATTGTTAATGCTCATATCCGCATTGTATGAGATTCCAACTGGATTTCGCGCTCGCTCACCCATCGCAGACCCGGTGTCGACCCCTTAGCGAAAAGGAATGGGCATCGAGAATTGCAAAAGCGACGACGACGAGTGCACATTAAATGTTTTTGTAACCCTTTTAGCGATACGTTAAGGCGTCGTGCACCTCTTTTAGCGATGATCATTTTGGCGAACTTGCAGATATGAACAAAGGAGTCTGTAAAATAACGTCAAGCTCACATATTTCCTGGCGAAAATTGGTTTTCGAATTGCGAATAAGTTCGCAATTGTCATAGGAAAGCAACAGTCAACATTCACTGGAGATACTAAGGAGGGTGGTTGCGGGGAAGAGGGCACAATAGAGAGGGTGAACCGAAAAATGGGGTACGCGCAGAAGAGGGGTGAGTCAAAATATGTGAAAACTGGGCTCGGGGGGGAGGACTTTCAGACCATAAAGTCTTGCGTAAGAAAAAAATAAGCACGAAATATTTTGGCGATCAAGAAGAAATCATTGATATCTTTCACCAACATCTTGCTAAATGAATTCTAAGATAAGCACGAAACAATCTGGAGACCAAGAACAAATCATTGACATATTTCACCAACATTTTGCTACATGAACCAGAGTATCGAGTCCAATTAGCACGAGTGTAAACAATGTCCACAACAGGACAAAGACTTCACATGAGTAACACAGGAGCACAACCTGGAAACGAATAAAGACAGCAAGACGCTGCCGCGGTCGTAGAAGACATAAGGAGAATAACCCGAAAACAAACAAAGGCAGCACGCAACTGGGATATTCACATCCCATATCTAAGTGTCAACTTAAAAAATACTGAACCACGTGGCTGAGATATTCACATCGACATCTAAGCGTCTACTTCACCTAAGCGTCCGCTGCAACCCTCTAGCTGATGTCGGGCAGCAAGGAATGAGAATAACCTGAAAACAAACGAAGGCAGCACGACGCTGGCAGGGTCCAAAAAAACTGGTCACACGAGGCTGCGCCATTTACATCGGAAAAACAAAAAAAAACAAGAAATCCAAAGAAAGTCCTACGAGTAAAGTTGTCAGGTTCCTTGAAATGAAGAACCCTTAAAAAATATTGCAGCACGAGGCCGGGATTTTCACATCGACATCTAAGCGTGTACTTGATCAAAGTGTTCACTACAATCCTCTACCTCATCAAATCAACATCACAGCTCGAGCCGACTGACTGCTAGACTAAGTGGGAATAAATTCACACTTCTGCTTATGGCCTTGTGAATAAAAAACTTTGCATATTTTTGAAATATGGATATTATTCTGAGCCTTGGAGTGTGTCCACCGCAATCCTCAGCCTGATGTTTGGAATGTCGCTTTGGTCTATCGAAAATGATGGCGGATGACCGCGTGCCAGAAAAGAAGCGAAGGCGAGCATGAAAACACTGCAGCTCGACCCATTCGACTGCTGAGGGACACCATGAACAACCTCCTTGGGGTCCGAGAGAAGTAGTTTCGTGTGTTGACCTAGTTGACGAACTGCTTCGTCAGTGAGGTATTTCGTGAAGTTGTCAAACACATGGGAAGAAAAACCGCCATCGTCTTGTAGGAGGGAGTCGTAGTACTCCAACCCTCCTTCACGGATGCATAATAGGGTCCAGTGCACTCAATTTTTATGAACAGGAATCATTAGCATGTCGTACGAAAATATATTAACATATTTTGTTCATCTCGCAACCCTATCATGTCGAAATCCCTCATCGACGAGCTTGGTATAGAAAAATGGACTGAAAATATAAACAGATCGACACCCCGACAACGTAGAGTTGCCAAGCAAGGCCAAATAGGACTTCACCACCTCGTCCCAAAGCCATACCTCCTGATAGATTTTTTCTGCTCAACAGAATAGAACTGGTCCCTTTGCGGATCAAGGAAATCACCTCGTGGCCATTGCTGAAATCTCCGTAGATGTCCTGCAACATTCTTAAGTCTGTACGGTTAAGCTCCTCAGTAGCTGTTGCATACTGTAACGTGCAGACCAGAACAAGAACCGACCTMTCAATACAAAGTACAAGATAACACAGCGGAAAACTTAGATACTAATGATCCGAACAATCATTATTGCAATGCAGCCCTGAATACACATCATCATCATCGTTATCTGGTGTGAAGGGGGTCTAGCACTTCACACAAGAAGACTGCGCCAGCCCCAACCATACACAGACGAAGAAGGAGGGGTTAGACGAAGAGGAGGGGAAGATGAGAATGTCGTCAACACCAAGTCTTGGCACATGCCCAAATAATCCCTTGTTGAAATGTCTGAATCCCAAATGTCCAGTTTGGATCCAATGTCGTCAAGTCTCAAGTCACAACTCTTTCTCTCTCTGTTGTAGTCGGAGAAGTCAGGTGGCGAGAGGGTGAGAAGAGATGGTGGACTTAGAAGAGGAAGAAGAAGAACTCTCTCTCTCTCTCTCTCTCTCTCTCTCTCTCTCTCTCTCTCTCTCTCTCTCTCTCTCTCTCCAGTACTAACTTGTGAAGTTGGCGCCTTGATGCAGGTACCTCGAAGATGGAGCTGGAGCTATGGCGCCGCAGGTAAGTACTGCTGGCCTACGCCAGCCATCTCTTCCAACTCTACAATCTACCACCTATAGCGCCCAAAGCTGAAGACTGCAACTATGGCTATGGGCGCCCAGTGCCGAAGACTACTACTAGTGCTAATACTACTTCCTAGCACTGAAGACTACTGCAACGCTCCTCCTGAGTGCTACGGCCGAATCCTGAAGACTACTCGTGCCTACTGACAACTACCTACCCGTGAAGTGCATGGGACTTCCTATGTACTACCGGGTGTGCCTCCTGACTGCAGGCGAGCAGTCTAGGAGGCTGTTCTTGCCAATACCGAAGGGAGGCAAGGGCTGCAGCTGCAGCTCCTGCTCGAGCTGGCATGGGGAACAGGCTATTTCTGGCCTGTTCCCGAAACCCTGTTTCCGTGCCTGAGTCTTAGGTAAGTCGAACATAATGAGGGCCTGAAAATGGCCCTCCGTTTCAGGCTGAAAAGCCTCTGGGCCTGAAAGGCCCAGAAATAGGCTGAAAACGGAATAGGGTCTGCATGCCCTCGTTTTCAGTTTTAGGCTGAAACGATCGGGGCCTGTAAGCCTTATTTTCTAGGCTTTTAGGCTGAAAGTGCGGGACGGGCCCTGCAGGGCCTGTGTGGCTATGCAGTATGCCACCCCCCCCCCTCCTTGAAAGACCGAGCTTACCTGTAAGGGCAAAGCTGTCTGTGTGAGGGAGGAACCACAGTCCGGGTGGGAGGGGCAGGTCGTGGGGGTCCCTTGGCTAACCTTTGACGTTCATAGTGAGTGTAGATCAACAGTGCAGATGCTTTCAAATCTGCTCCTGAAATCCACCGAGTGTCGTCGGGATCGCATGCTCCGAATGTAACTTTGTACTGTCGCGGCTTGCTGCCGTACTTGCATTTCGAGATGACGCGGTCAACCTCCTGATGACCATCCATAGGAGGGTCCTGCGATCGTCGGCCCGGGAAGTTGTCGCTCTTAGCTGGTGTATATGTTGCCAGCTTCGAGGTGTGAAATACTGAATGGACCGTTAGATGCTCGGGAATGTTGATCACAAATGAAGGGCCATCAGGCTCATCGCCCACGGCTGCTGTCACAGACCAAGGTCCAAACCACTTGGGAAGCAGTTTGCGTGAAACATCCTGTTCCAGTGCAAACTCTTCCACGGAGACCCAAACCAAATCACTGGCGCAGATGGGACATGGTACGCGACACCTGTTGGCTTGCTGTTGCATGCGGACATGAGCCTTTTGCATGTTCGCGCGGGCTTGAGTCAGCAATTCCCTGTACTTCCGGACGAAAGCGGGAGAGCAGGCAGCGTCAATGTCAGCTGGTCGAGGGAAGAGAAGGTCAGCGAAGATCCGGCCTTTCCGTCCACCGTGGTGCAACTCGAATGGAGTCATGCCGATCGCCGGATGCACCGAAGTATTGTAGGCGAACTCGATGTCGGGGAGGCGGTCAACCCAATCTTTCTGGTCCGGACGGATGAGCGTACGAAGCATCATTTGAGCGGTTTGATGTGCCCGCTCCGTCTGCCCGTCTGTCTGTGGGTGCCGAGCCGAACTTGGCTTCATCTTCGTGCCGGACTTCTGCATGAGAGCAGTCCAAAATGCCGACATGAAGCGAGTGTCGCGGTCGCCGACTATGTCTTCTGGTACACCGTGGCTACAAATCCAACCGGTGTGCAGGAGGCATGCCAACTCGGGAGCCGTGGAGTAGTACTTGCGAGGAAGAAACCGTGCGTACTTACTCAATCGGTCCACAACCGTTAGGATGCAGTCGTGCCCGAGCCGCTCGCGAGGGAATGGACAGGTGACGTCCATGGCAATGGAGAGCCCGGGTTCCCGTGGGATAGGCATCGGGCGTAACTCGTCGTAGGGATTGCGGTTGCGGGGCTTGCTGCGTCGGCAAACTTCGCAAGAGTCGCAATACCGAGTGACATCGGTAATGAGATCGGGCCATCGGAATCGCTGTCGAAGCCGTGCAATAGTGCGGTTGACTCCGAAATGGCCGGCGAGTCGTGAATCAYGATACTCGYCGAGGAGGCGAGTCCGAAGACGGCGGTCGCGTGGGACACATAGTAAGTCSTTGCCTCTCGAGTGGAGGAGCAAGTACCCGTCGGCAATGCGATAGTGGCTGGCCGGCGGGTGATCCGAAGATAGTTGTGCATACAGCGTGGCGAAGTCCGGATCAGACTCATATGCCCGGATGAAGTGTCGTTGAAGCTCCTCGTCGAATGCGAAGGAATGATGTGTCATAGCGCAAAGATCAGGTCTTTGCGAGAGTGCATCTGCTGCGCGATTTGAGAGGCCGGGAATATGTTTTGGTTTGAAGTCAAACTGGTCGATGAAGTACATCCATCGTCCGATCGTGGTGCTCACCGTATCCTGCGTCTTGTAGTAGGTCAATGGATTGTTGTCCGTAACCCATGTGAACCTACGACGCCCAAGGAGGAAGTACCGCCATCGCTTGAGAACCATGACGAATGCGAGCAGCTCCTTCTTCCTTGCATCATCAAGCAAGTTGATGGGAGGCACTTTGTGGCTGAAATACTCCACAGGGTGCCAGTCGTCGTCATCGTGCTGTTCCAAGACTGCCCCAATGCCATAGCCGGAAGCGTCCGTAGTCACTCGCGTCGGCAGGGTGGGGTCATAGATGCTAAGGACGGGTGCCATGAGCATGGCCGTCTTGAGTGCTTGGAATGACCAGCGTGTGTCGTCATCGAATACGAATGGCACCTTTGGCGACTGTAACCTCGCCCTAGGTGCAGCAATCCTGGAGTATCCGGTGATGAATCGCTGATAGTAGCCCGCCAACCCCATGAATGAACGAACGTCCGTGGTGTTGGTGGGCTCGGGCCATACTCGCAGGGCCTCGATCTTGTCCGCAAGCGGACGGATGCCTTGCGGCGTCACATAGTGTCCCAAGTACTCCTGCTCCTGCCGTGCGAATTCGCACTTGTCACGGTTGGCTTTGTACTTGGCTTGTCGTAGCCACTCCAAAACGGTGCGCAAATGTTCCCATGCTCCTCCAAACTCCGGGTGTACACCAAGATGTCGTCGAGGTAGATAAGTACGTAACGATCCAGCATATGTCGGAACTCCATTGTCATAGCCGCTTGGAAAGTGGCTGGGGCATTCGTAAGGCCAAATGGCATGACCAGCCATTCGAAATGCCCATATCGCATCTTAAACGCGGTCTTGTAGCGATCCTCCTTGCGAATCTCGAGTTGGTGATATCCCGACTTGAGATCGAGCTTGGAGAAGAACTTGGCGCCGCCCAGTCGCTCGAGAAGATCGTCGATGCGTGGGAGAGGGCCGACGTTTCTGATCGTTTGCGCATTGAGCTTGCGATAATCGACGCACAAACGCAAATCCTTGTTCTTCTTCCGGACGAAGAGGACAGGGGCACCGTATGGTGATGAGCTAGGCCGAATCCAACCTTTCTCCAGAAGGTCGTCGAGTTGTGCCCGAAGCACACTTAACTCTTCCTCGCTCATTCGGTAGATGCAACTGCGTGGAGGTACGGCCCCGTCCTCGAGGATGATCTCATGGCGGATGGGCCGATCCGGTACTACTTCGTGCGGGCCTTCGAACACGTCGTTGTAGGCGTCGAGAAGTTCGGTGATGCGTGGATCCGAAGATGAGTCCGTCGATGACGCGTCTTGGGGCGGGAGGGCGTGGAGAAAACACACCCCCATCTCCTCGATGTCGTCTCTGATGATGGAGGCTCGCATGCTTGCGGCGGATACCACGTGACAGCCGACTGAAGGGTGAGGAGGAGCTACCGTGCATGGGACTAGTACTCTGTTCCGATCACGAATGTGAACGGTGCGGCGGTAGAAGTTCACCGGGTAATCCTCGCTTCGCAGCCATTACATGCCCAAGATCATGTCGAATTTGGTGTCCAGAATGTCAAAGGACACCGCCTTACTTGCGTGAGGGGCGAAGTACATTGGGACGTCGTCAATGCACCGGTCGATTGACTTGTGCGTATGACCGTCCGCCAATGTGACTTGCGTGGGCTGGGAATTCCTTCGGACTCGTGGGCCAAGGCCGGCGCGTACCATGAAATCCTGACTCATGTAGTTGCGAGATGCTCCGCAATCAATCAAAGCGCTGCAGGTCGCCTCTCCAATCTGAATGCATACATATAGCAATGGTGCGTCGATGTCGTCGTACCGTTGCGTCTTGAACTCACGGTCGATCTTCGCAATGTAGGCGTGAAGGTCGACCACCTCTACTCCGGCGTCCATCACCGGAGTCAGTACTGCAGTGTGCAAGTAATCTCGCAATTGTGCCTTGAGCATGTTGCAATGCGGTTTCGGCAAGCGACCGGACCGGGGCAGGGGCATCCATTGGAAGTCCTCAAAAGTCAACGGGTCGAGTTCTTCAAGACTTGACCATGTCGTCGAATCCCCGGCGGTAGATGACGGCGAAACTGCCGAATCGGTTGCCGATGGTGATGAAACCGTGCATGCGGTAGATTGTTGCACGTGGAGCGATTGGTCCAGCGGTGGAACCAAGTGGACAACATAATCCTCGTAAGTGTAACGAGGACTTGCGACATTCGCATCCTCCCCAGATGTTTAGGAGGCCGCTAGCAAGGCGGCCGAATCTGGTGGAGTGGGGGGTGGAGTCGCCTCACCTCCCGCCAAACTCAGTTTCCCGAGTTGAGCCGAGGCCGCACATCCTCCTTGGCCTGATCCTGGCAAAGAGAGGTCTTGTGCTTGGTGCTGTTGCGCCAGTAGCACCAGCCGTAACGGCCGCGGTACTTGTACTCGGGCTCGGTCAAGCCAAACTTGACCCATGGTGGTGCAGGCTGTCCATTTCCGGTCGGCGATGCTGATTTCGCCTTCCCGTTCACTCGGGGTTTGTTGTTGCTTCGCGGGAGGACGGCAACCACCTGATCTCCCTCACGTGATGCTGGAGTGGCTGCTGGGTCATCTCCACTGTCCGATTGGACTGCAGCGAACTGCTGCTGTCACGGACCAGTTCTTACCTTCTCCACATAGGTTGGCTGCCACGTTGACTTCTCGTGTGCAGCTGCCCTATTGGTCTTGATGATCTCCCTCGCCTTGTTGATGATCTCTGCGAAAGTGTTGTACTGCTCGCGATCACCAAGTGCGAGGCTGAGAGCGGCGCATGACCTGTTGTAGAACTCACGACATAAATGTGGAAATGGCAAGTTCAAATCGGGCGTGGCCACAATCTTCTGCCAATCCGTGAGCCAGTCACGTGTCGGTGTGCTCCCTTGAGCCATCGTGAAGATGCGGTTGATGGTGAGTGTCGGGGCGTCGTCGACGATGAACCGCTTCTTCCATTCCTTTGTCATATCCTCCCAGGGGACCTTCTTGTACAGGTCTGAAACCTGGACGCCGTGGATGGTTGCCATGTGGCTGAGCCAAATCTGACATCCTCCCTTGATGTTGATGAACAAAGCACTGATGAACAGATGGTCAGGGACCTCGTGAATCCCCAACTCCGTTGTAAATCCTTGCCACCAGACGACCGGGTCTTGATGTGTGTAGTCATCAAATTTCTCGATCCGGATCGTCGGCATTTTGTATGGCCTCGTCGAGCTGTTGTTGTGGCTGTGGTCAGTCTACTGTTGCCGACTGATCTTGGTGTCCAGCAACTCTAACCGCTGGCTGATGGTGGCCGACTTTGCGAAGGCACTTATGTCTCCTAGCATTGCCACTACGTGGTCAACGCGTTCCTCCAGTTGACGGCTAGAGGGTGCACTGTTGGAAGCCCTAGCCCCTGGTCCTGGTACAGCCTGTTCCAGGTCCAGTACACGGGAATTGAGTGCCCGTGTTGCATCCTCGTGGCCCTGCACCATCCGGCGGAGGTTCGCCAACTCCTGGTGCTGTGTCTTCAGATCCTGGTACTGTTGCTGCAGTTTCTGGGTCTGTCTCTCTAACTCAGATCGTTGGTAGTTGCAAGCACGCAACAACCGTGTCACGAGTTTGGAGAGGAACTCCTTATGCTGCTCTTCCGGTGTTGCCTCGTCGCCGTTTGGTTCAAAGTGCCAGAACTTGAGTTTGTCGATGCTGTTGGCTTCATGCCGCTGCAGCAGATCCTGGGCTTCCTTGCGGCGAGCCTAGGCATCTGCGTCTGCTTCGGCCTGTAGCCGCAGCTTCTCTGTTGTTGCCGCTTCTTCAGCCTGTAGTTGGGCAGCCGCGGCTGCCAGCTGGCATTGTTCCTCAGCGTCGATGAAAGCGAGCTGAGCCTGGAAACGCTTTTTGTAGTCGGCAATGGGCTCATTGGCCAATTGGCCTGGCAGGCCCGTCATGTTGCTGACGTGGCACTGTGTCTGACGGGTCACTATAACTGACGTTGCATTGTGTCTGACGTGGCACTGCTGACGTGTCACTGTGTCTGACGTGGCACTGCTGACGTGTCACTGTGTCTGACATGGCACTGCTGACGTGTCACTGTAGCTGACGTGTCACTGTAGCTGACGTGGCACTGTAGCTGACGTGTCACTGTACCAACCCGGAAATTGCATGCAAAGGGTGGGTGGGAGGGAAAACACAGGTAGGAAACCAACCCAACATTACTTTCCTCCAACCCTAATCAACAAATAAAAATGAAATAAAAAAATAAAAGAGGACTACTTCCTTTTTTTTTTTATATATATCTGTCAATCTATTATTAGTAGGACATGTCAGAAGAGTATTATGAACGAGATCTAGGCTAGGTTCCGCAAAGTTTCGGCTTTTGCAAACTGCGATCTTGAAAAAAAAAATTTGCGAAATGGAGTTATAGATGCGATTTTCAGAAAATAACGAAATTCAGTTTCTGAGAATGCGGCAACCTCCGAATATGCCTAACGCAATATTGGTAGGCTTCGCAAAATTTCGGTTTTCAAAAAAAAATTTGCGAGATAGAATGAAAATTCGATTTTCAGAAAAGAATAATTCCAGTTTCCGAGAATATAACCCTTCTATCGTTATCCCAATATGCCTAGAGAACGAAATACTAACTTCAGAAATTTCAACTATGTACGCGAAAATATCAGAGAAACGAAAAACTACTATCGGGAATTTTCAGACAAAACGAAATGCGATTTATCAGAAATTTTCAGATATTTGCTACGTAAAAACAAACTACTAATATCAGAAATTTTCAGGTAAAACGAAACGCGAATATCAGAATTTTTCAGATATTGTTGCGAGAATTTTTTTATAGAGATTTGACTAAGTCCTACTTGCGTTACTAATGAGTGATCACTAGATCAGCAAGCTGGCTACTTGATTGAGCGGGTCCTCTGAATGAGAGGTCCGCTCCGATACCAAACTGTTGCATACTGTAACGTGCAGACCAAAACAAGAACCGACCTCTCAATACAAAGTACAAGATAACACAGCGGAAGACTTAGATACTAATGATCCAAACAATCAATATTGCCATGCAGCCCTGAACACACATCATCATCATCGTTATCTGCTGTGAAGGGGGTCTGGCGCTTCACACAAGAAGGCTGCGCCAGCCCCAACCATACATAGACGAAGAAGGAGGGGAAAATGGGAATGTCGTCAACACCAAGTCTTGACACAGGCCCAAATAGTCCCTCGTCGAAATGTCTGAATCCCAAATGTCCAATCTGGATCCAATGTCGTCAAGTCTCAAGTCACAACTCTTTCTCTCTCTATCGTAGTCGGAGAAGTCAGGTGGCGAGAGGGTGAGAAAAGATGGTGGACGTAGAAGAGGAAGAAGAAAAACTCTTTCTCTCTCTCTCTATGTCCAGTACTAACTTGTGAAGTTGGCGCCTTGATGGAGGTACCTCGAAGATGGAGCTGGAGCTATGGCGCCACAGGTAAGTACCGCCGGCAGCGTTGTCACGCGGGGATCCCCGAGGCCCAAGCCGGGGTAGGGGGTTCAACCCCGGAACCCCGCCGCGGGGCTACCCGACCCCCGCCCCC